TTCCTGGGCCGGGCAGCGCCCCGGCTCGGTGCTGGGGCCAGGCCCCGGGCGGCCGTGTGCTTCCCCGGGGAGCGTTTGCCCCGCTGTGCCCATGGCGGTCTCCGCTTCTACCTGCGGGCTTTTCGTCTGCAGCCCGGGCTGTGGGTGGGAAGGTCCCCGCGGGCCGCTGGCGGGGGCCAGTGGTGCTTCAGGCCTCTGCGGCGCCTCACGGGTACCTCTCGGGGGGTGTGTGGGGCGGTGAAGTGGTTTTGGGCCGTCAGTACAGGACTTGCCATGGGCCCACCCATCACCCCCTCTGACCTGCGAGCCCTTGTCTCCGGTCAAGGTTCTGACCCTGCCCCTCTCGTCTGAGTGGCAAAGCTTCTAGTAGTCACTTACTCAGTGACTTACATCTGTCCCTCTTGTTTTATAGCATGTTTAAGTCATGAATGAGGTAATAAACCTGTGGCTAATAAAGACTGTCTAGTGAAAGGTTTGAGGTCATCCACGTGATTGCAGGACTGAGAGTAAACACAGATCACTTGGAAATAAGCAGCTCAGGTTGAAAGTTGGTGTTTTGACTTTTTGTCGCTCCTGGAGGAAGCCCACCGGCTGCAGAAGAGCTGTTTCACATGAACCACACAGTCCTCTAGAAAGGAGACATTTAGAAAATTAGGAGAAATGTAACTGGTTATGTTGGTGTTCCAGCTTGGTCATAAAGCCTGAGAAGGCTCTTGGCCGTTGCTGTTGGGGAAGTACAGGCATCCAAGGTGTTGCAGAGTAAAGCCCGTGTATTGTAGGTCTCTGCTTGAGATCATAGTGAAGAAGCCCTTGTGGGGGAATGCCAGTTTTTATTGCCATTTACTAATAGCAAACTAATTGCCTGTGGTTAAAATAAAGTAATGCCAATACTGATTCTGATATTTTTAAGATAACTCAACTGTTCAGATCTGAAGGGCACAATTAGTTTCTCCTTTCCTGTGAGGGCTGTTACAGAGGCCTTTATCATAAGCAGGAGCAGCAGCTCAGAACAGTCAGGGTGAGGAGTTTCAGACAGTTGCATAAATAATAGGGATTTATTTGTATCAAATACTGGAAAGATTGTGTCTTGTGGAAAAGATAACCTAAATACTAATGTGCATGACTTGGGAAAGAGAGGAGCTGCTGCTGTTTCCCAGCTTTCCTTCCCTTGAATGTGTAAATGTTGATTATTTGTAGTTTTCATATAATTTGAACGGTTCCCATAACAGTTATTTTTCAAGTCCCCTCTTGAAGGGCAGTGTGAAGTGTAACAAGTGGAGCCACCAAGCACAGGAACTTGTAGGTTTCTCAGCTCTGGTGTGGCATTACATGGATCTTAAACATTTTTGTTAATGTTGATAAACAGTTCAGGAGGAAGGGAAGATGAGTAGTTGTTGAGATTCTGGAGCTACTGGAAGCAGAATTTAAGTTCCCTTCTGATTTCTAACACTTGTTCTCATGTTTGACTGGGATCTTCACCTAACAATCACCTTTCTTTTTTTCATGTGCTATGTATGCTGGTAGGTAGTATTCTCCTCGGCTCTGGCTCCTAGTCGTGACTTAAATAAAGGTTTAAAGAGCTACCAAATGCCAGCTAGGCAATTTCTAATTTGCTCAGTTTCTGACAAGGCATTATTTGCTTGGTGAGTCTGAGTTGGTTGCAGCAGTGGGGACCGGGCTACTGTTTTGTTCCGTCTGTGCTTTCAGGACTGTTTTAACTTGCAGTGCTGGAATGAAGAAGGGCACTTGGGTAGCCTTTCTTGGTTTTGAAGGCTTTCTTGAAATTCACACTGCAGAGGATTTTAATACAGCTTTCCAGTGCATTTGCTTTACCCGTTTTATGTATAGCTGTTCAACATCAAGTTTTCTTTCCTTGGCGTGTGGGTTTGGTGCCCCTGACACTTTCTAGCTGCAGTCCAGAGAGCAGGCCATTGGTCTAGAAAACTTCTGATAGTAATAGGTGTCTGTAAATAGGAAAAGCTGGAGCTTTAAAAACACAACATTAAGGAACGATGAAGTAAGCTTAAAGAGATCTGGTGAATCTTAGCAGAAGGGATCCCAATCCTCAAAACAATAATGCTTTACTAAGGTTTCCTTCTTTGAAAAACTGTTGCATTAGTCATTGTTCGTAGTGTTTGACTGAGCATTGCAAAGCTTCATTTGCTCTAGCTAAGAGCATAATTTTTGAAAAAGGGTTGCATGCAGGGTAGTAGTCCCTGGGGTTGCAAAATGTACCCTGCTCAGTCCCATCAATCCCATAATTTAAGTTTACTCGTTGAATGGCTCTTGGGTACTCCTAACAGGGATCTTGTTTATGACTCTTAACTAAGCTTTTAGTCATGTTTTGCACCAAAGTTTTCTAGTGTACTGTGTTTCTAACCCAATTAAATGGCTAAACAATCATTTTCACACAGGGCAAACTCAGAAGATGAATCTCTTCCAGTCCATAACAAGTGCCTTGGACAATGCTTTAGCCAAAGATCCGACTGCAGGTACGCTACACTTGTTAGTCTGCTTTGCTTTATGTAAATTGCACTTTGTTTTGCCTATTTGTGTACAATATTAAATGCCTTTTTTGTGGCCTTTTTAAGTTTTGTAACAAGTTATTTCTACAATTTGATCTCAAACAAAACAATGTGTTGTAGTAACAGATTATCAGCGTATGATCTGAGATGCAGTTGTCTTCTGTATTAGTTGGGTGTATTTCTCTTGAAAGTAGGGACAGAAAGCTACATTGCTTAACATGCTTCTGATATTACTGATGTGAACTGTACTTCAGGGCAGCTTGAGTCCCACCAGTAAGTAAAGGAGTTTTTAAAATGTGGATCTTAGTTTTTAATTCTTTCATTATCCTGTGTTCAAAAAGTGGCACTCTTTAGAGGCTATATATTCCTTGCTCTGTCCATTCTCTCCTTCCCTGCCCTCCAAAATTCCTTTCCAGCTTTACTGATTTCTGTTCATTGTTGTGCCTAGGCAATGTAAGATTTTGTAGGCTTTTGTGGTCTGGATAACCTGTAGCTTTGAAGAAGCTAGTTCATCATGGCTTGATAGAAAAGAGTTACCCTAAGCTCTTATGCACAAAACTATTTACTCACTTTAAATTTTTACACATAACAGGACGTCTGTTTCTTCTGTTGTTGTAACAAAGGTGTGACGGTAGCCAGGTATCTGGAGGAGATGTTTACTGTCATGAACACAGCTGCAAAAGCTGTATGATCTTGCGTAATTTTGGTTTTTCATTTTAGAGTGTTTTTGGCACTTGAGCCACTGTTCAGTTTGAAGTCTGACTAACCGTCTAATCTGTTGGGACAAATTCCCTGTTGTCTGTCCAGTGCTATGCCTATATATGTTCCCTCTCAATCTACAGCTGTGTTATAATCACCTTTATTAAATTAAACTTACACAACTGAGGGTAAATTAGTGCCAAGAACTGATTTTTATTTCTATTTCTGTAGAATCAGCCATAATTAAGTAGAATGTTAATCCAGCAGGAACCTAGACTGTATGTAATCTCCAGCTTTTAGTCACTCTAAGGTTCCAGTCTTGCTCCTCAGCTTTGCAGGCCTGGATCTTTGCAAAATCCTTTGCAAGACTATGTTGGATTTCTATAGTCTGGATATGTGAGTTGTCAGTATCACCCTACTCACTGAATCAATTAGTACTTCTTGCGGTAGAAAGCATGTCCTTCATATGATTTATTTGTATGGGAATTGAGCAACTGTTGTTTAAGTAGTGGAAATCCTCATACTTGTGTTGATGAGAATTAGAATCTGTCCAGGAAAATATTTTCAGTGGCTGAATGGAATGAGTAAATCTGTGCAAGTTTGCTGATAGCAGCATTAAATCGGATTTTTTTTTTTTAATGCCAGATGGCTCAGAAGTGAGTAGCCATATGGTAATGGAAAGGTCTTACAAGATTTTAAGTACATAAAAAAGCAAACAAATTAATATTAAAAGTTCATTAGAGGTGATCTGGGGACACACTTCAGTCATAAACTACATGGCTGCCCATGGCAGGGGGGTTGGAACTAGATAATCTTTAAGGTCCCTTCCAACCCAAACTGTTCTGTGATTCTATGATTCTGTAAGTTATTTTTCTTTAAGTGCTGTCAGTAATATGGTTGTTGGAAGTGTGTTAATCCCTTCTAGTGCTTCCAATCAGAAATGTATATTATTTAAATAAGAATAATATTTGAAAGGCAAGGAGGCTAACTTAATATTTTTTGTCCTTTAGAATATAGAGAGTATTGAGAAATTCGTGTATTATCAGAACTGACCCCATTTTATGCAAGCTGCTGTTGGTGATACTGCTGCACATCTCTTACATGCTTAAAAAAATGAAATGGGCAATACTGTGTGAATTATTTCTGTGAATTAAATAGCAAAACTGTTTTAAGAAATTCAGATATTATCATTCCGTAAAGTCAAAGGGAAAAAAAACCCCAAACCTAAGCAGATTAGTTGATATGAGGCTAAATTTTAAAGGCAATTACTTTTAGTGATAAAACTTTATTGGCTACATCACTCACTCTATAAGGATAGTAGTGCTGAATACTGAGAGTTATTCTGGTTATTAGATATCCATCCTTTCTGTGAAGGAGTTCCTCTGAAGTCACTTTTCAGGGATCTAGCAAGTATGTTTGGACAAGGTTTGAAATTTCATGTTGGATTGGTATTTTGAATAAAACTTAATTTTGACATTTTTCAAAACACTGCATTTACTGAGATCTGTAGGTGAAAAATGCAAGTGGTTGCCAGTTGAAGCAGAACACACAACTGAATGACTCTGAATGTAATTGTTTCTTGGAATTGCTTTTATTCATTTAGATTTAAATGTTGTGGTATTATAGGATATTTCAGAAAAATAAATAGATGGTTTAATGAAAATATAGCTGAATCAGTTTCATGAATTCCGTTTTGAGGCAAAAGAGTGTCGCTGTGCTGATTCCTCATTAACTTTGGCTCTTTATTTGCTACACTTAGTCTGTGCACGAGAATCGCTTAGGTCTAGATAAGTCTTGAAGCAAAATAAAATGTTAGGCACTACTTACATTAGCATCCCATAAAACACCTTGAAACCCATTCATTAAAAAAGATGCATTGGAGTAACATTAGCGTCCTATACTATTCTTATTTTCCAGTAATATTTGGGGAAGATGTGGCCTTCGGTGGAGTCTTCAGGTGTACAGTTGGCTTGCGAGACAAATATGGTAAGTTGGCTTGTAAATCTGACATTATTTTCATATTAACATCTCTGTTCTTTTGTACCCCGTATGGTTTGTGGGAGAAGAGAAGAATACCTGGGAGAGAAGTCTTGTAAATGGACTTCTGTTTTCCTTTCTGTCATTGGAAATAGAAAGTTTGTAATGTGTTACTGTTTATGTAAGCTTTGAAAACTTTTGTAGAAACACTTGCTGACAAAATTTCAAGAGTATTCTATTTCTTCAACTAGCATTATCAATATAACTTCAATTTTTTTTAACTGCAGCTGGCCATATGAGCATCATTGAGGCCCCATTTCATTACACTACTCAAATTAAAGCCTCTTAGTAACAGTACATGGTGATGCTTTTTGGTCATGTCTGTCAAGAACCATGAAGGGATTATGTTAAAATAAATTTAAACTTCTTGTTTAATGTAATATTTTTTGGCATGGCCTGGAAAGCCAGTATAGAAATAGTATGTTACAACTATGCTTGTGCTCTGTCTAGAATGTGACTGGTTTATTTGTTTTGGGAGACTCATGTGAGGGCATTTAGGGAAATGGTACGGCGTTTGTCTCAAAGAATCTTATAAGTACCCTTTATCTGAACACTAGAGGAAAAACAGGTTTGCAAAAGTATATGGAAAAATGAGATGGTACTTGGTCATCTCATACCTCAGACAGTCAAGGCGAGTTCAGTGGAAGAGAGAAAATAGTTAATTGCAGGATTATTTTTTTAAACTTACTTTTTAGATAAGATTTTAAATGAAAAATTCATTTAAAACTTGCAGGAGCTTTTAATAATGTCTGCATGATCAGTTATTTAATTTTATTCATATATTGTGTTCATTCTGGAAGAAATTTAGTTTGGCCGTTCAGCTGTTACAGCGGAGTATCAGTGTTTTTTTAAGAAAGTTGAAGGGAAGGAAAAGATATGCTTGTGCAACAACATAGGGTCTGAAAGAAAATAACTGTCATGTTCACAGTTCTTGATGGATAGAATTTAACCACCTGCTCAGTGATACCTACTTGGCAAATCTGGAGGACTTCAATTTTCTTCTTTGGTTATCCATTTGGTGTGGTTTCTTTTAAGTATTCCTTCTGCTGTGAGAAGTACTGTTACTGGAACACCCAAAAAAGAATCAATGTTTCATGCATGGCATGCTAGGTTGTGCGTAACAATTTACAGGTCTCAGAAATGTGTTGTGGATACAGTAACTTGAGAGCTTTTAATTTGGTATTTGCCATATCACCCACTGGGCTGTTAAATAAAAGAAAAGAGGTTATTGAATGTTAAGTTTCAACAGCTTACAAAAATTACTCGGATGACTTGCAGCCAGTGATTACATCTATTTCATTTTCCTCATCTGGAGGAAATGAGTTACTGCCATCTTGGAGAAGATCCACTTTTTTTGGACTGAACCTGTGTTGGGTTATGGTAGCGGATGAAGGGCCACAGGGATGGCTCCTGTGAGAAGCTGCTAGAAGCTTCCCTGGCTACAAGCTGTACCTGCCTCTGGACACAGCCACCTAGCACCTCTGTGACCGACATATGTAAAAGAGGAAAACAAAGGGAACTGGCACGAGAGAGGAATGGGATGTGAGAGAGGTAACCAGGCAGACACCCAGATCAATGCAGAAAGGTGGGGAGGAGGCGGTACTGGAGCAGAGGTTCCCCTGCAGCCCGTGGTGAGAGGGTAGGCTGTGTCCCTCCACCCATGGAGGGTCACGGGGGAGTAGAGACCCTCTTGAAGCTCAGGGTGGGCCCCACACTGGAGCAGGTGACTGCATCCGAAGAGGCCTATGAGTCCGTGGGAAGTCTGTGCTGGAGCAGATTGCTCCTGAAGGATTGCATCCCATGGAAGGGACCCACTCTGGAGCAGTTAAGAGAGCTGCAGCCCGTGGGAAGAACTCATACCAGGGAGGTTTGTGGAGGACTGTCTCCTGTGGGAGGGACCCCACGCTGAAGAAGGGTCAGAGTGTGAGGAGTCCTCCCCTGAGGAGGAAGGAGCGACAGAGACAACATGTGATGGACTGACCACAGCCCCCATTCTGTGTGCCCCTGCACTGCTCGCGGGGAGGAGGTAGAGAAATCGAGAGCAAGGCTGAGCCTGGGAAGAAGAGAGGGGTGGAGGGAAGATTTTTAACATCTGGTTTTATCTTTCATTGTTCTACTCTGATTGGATTGGTAACTAGTTAAACTGATTGTTTTCTTCCCCAAGTCAAGTCTGTTTTGCCTGTGACCATAACTGGTGAGTGATCTCTCCCTGTCCTTGTCTCAACCCATGACCTTTCCTTGTATTTTCCCCATCCCAGCAGGGGGAGGAGTGAGTTAGCAGCTGCGTGGTGCTGAGTTGGTGGCTGGGGTTAAACCACAACAGAACCAAAATATTAGAGGAGGAAGACTATGCTTTTAAGAAGTTTTAGCAACATAATCATATTTACTCTTGTTTCTCTGCCTCAGGTATTATGTGGATGTTTTCTCACTTTCTGGTTTATATGTTAGTGTTCAAATAGTTTGGATAGGACTTTTATTAGCAGTGATCTTTAGTGCTGCACGTTGGGGTTGAATGAGCATTCTCTAACTCTGGTGTGATATGTTAACTCTGTTTACTAGACTTCACGTGTAAATGAATCCTCTGAGACAGCAGTTGGTTGCTGGAAAAGTGGGCAACGGAAGTCTTCATTTGGGGAATAAGCAACAGAAGCAGATTATAGAATCACAGAACAGTTTGGGCTGGAAGGGACCTTAAGGACCATCTAGTCCCACCCCCCCTGCCATGGGCAGGGACACCTTCTACTAGACCAGGTTGCTCAAAGCCTCATCCAGCCTGGCCTTGAACACTTCCAGGGATGGGGCATCCACAGCCTCTCTGGGCAACCTGTTCCAGTGCCTCACCACCCTCATAAGCAGCTTTGCTGTTTTTTGGTGAACATGTCCAGTTTAAATGACAAAAGGAATAAACTTCCTATTATTAGAGTGTGGCTGTGAGGGTCATTTGTTGGTTTTCTTTGGTGTAAGAAGGTCATATAATATTGGAATGAAGGAGAAACATTATTTCTTTCTTGTCGTAGTATTTTACTGATGGTGTTTTCAGAAGTGCCAGTGGTGCTCAAAGCACTGTGTGGCAGTTCTTGTCCCAGAGTGCAGGTGTACCACTGAGGTGGGTACTGATAAGGGAGAACAAAGAACTATTCACAGTGTTCAGTCATTATGATATGCAACAGTCACAGCACGTACAGCAGCCTAGCTAGAATCAGATTTATTTTGTGTGTATATGACAAAGATTTTTTAATGAGATTTTTTGAGGAAGATATAACATGACTTTGGGAATATTGGAAAATTACTCATTTAAAGCACGAGAGACAACATGGGAAACTGTGGAAGTACATGTATGAACACTGACCAAGGGCAAATGAAAGTTGATATTGCCATTTGATCAGAAAGGGTGCTGGCCTCTTTATGGTGAATAAGAGGCTAGATTTGATAAGGAAAAACTAAGTAGTGCTCATTTCATGTGATGGTAAAATAAAATGGGTGAGTACGTAAAGTGCTGGTGAGATCAAATTGACAAGGTAGGCAACTATCTTCACATTCAGAGCATGGCAAAGATTGTATTTGTTAGAGGAAAAGTGTGTTAGCTGGAAGAGAATGAGAAATTCGAAAAATTTTTTGCTCTTTTGCTACTTAAAGTTTGTCTTACAGATTCATTATAGAAAGATATTGCTAGGATCCCTTTGTCTTGCTGGTTCTGAGATTTAGGTCTAGGTAAGAAGTAAATGAAGATGCTGTAGTGGCTGAAAAAGAAGGTAGTGGAGAAGGCATTTCAGGAAAATTAAGAGTTCTTTATGCTGCTGCTGAGGTAGCCTAAAACGAGTCGAGGCAATATATGAAATACGAATCTGGACAGAAATAGAAGTTTGGTAAAAGGTGAAGTTAGGAGTCATTCGCATAATGGTAATTCAGCTTTGTAAGGCAGTTTAAGATGACACAGGTAATTTTGGCTTCCTTGTTCAGAAATAGTGAAATCCTAGAAAATGGGCAGTGGCTGAAGAGGTCAAAGATGAACTAGAGGACATGCTGAAAATACAGCTACAATGTTGAGGGGAACCAGGAAGGACTGAAAACACAAAAACTGCAGGAATCCAAAATTTCGAGGGGGGTGTGACTGCCTGTCCGTATTGTCTTAGTGATGTAATAAGTTCTGGATGCAGTGTTAGTTCTATTCAAAGGCTGGAGTCCATGTAAAATAAGTAGGAATTCCAGACAGAATTGATGAACAAGCAACCTCATGGATCTTACCTGTACAAGGAAGATTACATGTACTTACAGGCTCTTCCATCCCCATTCCCCTCCTGCATTTACCATCAACATAAGATGCAAGTGGCATAATATGAGCTTTTTTGTATGCGTTGATGTGAAACATGAAGGAATGAATGGGTTTTTTTCCTCCTCTACAGGAAGAGGAAGGTTGTATTTTTGTGGTGGTGGGTTGGTGGTTTTTTTTTTTTGTCCTCTCCCTGTAAATAATCAAAATCACTAGGTGGCAGTCTATGCCTATAAGTAGTTATTTTGGTACAAATTGATAGTTCCTTTTTAAGCACTTTTACAGAGGTCGAGGTCTAAACATCACCTAATAATATAGAAGGGAGAATTTAGTATATTAATACTCAGTAGTAGTACTATACAGATGTTGATTGCTATCCAGATTGTTACTGAAGTCTCTCTGGAGAAACCGAGAAGTTTGCTTTTAGAATAGATCTGTCATCAAATCTAAAACCTTTTTTTTTTTTTTTCCCTGGAAAGCCATTTAAGCCTGACTGTAGAATAATGCTGTAATATAAATACAGCTAGAGGCCTGTACTAGTAAGTGAAAGAAGTCAAGCTCATTGACTTTTTAAGGAAATAAATCCTAATTTTTGATCAGATGAATTTTTGATGTGTTACAAAATCCTTGGAAATGTTTAATTGAGGAATCATATGTAAACAAGTCAGGATGTGGCAGC